GCCAGCAGGGTTGTGGGGTACCAGCAGCACCTGCAGTGGGTGGGCAGGCTTGACTTCAGCATCAAAGAGTATTTTATTCTTGAACAGCACTGGCAGCATTTTCTCCTTGAGCGTGTGGTTTCAGGATATGGAATTGTCTTGAGACTTTGCATGGAAAATGCTTAGCATGCTCTGGCTTTCAGAATTGGAAAAAGAGTCAGGGCTACCTATCATGTGGTGTGAATATGCCTCATTGTTCTGCTTTGGATAAAGATATGGAAACTGTCTTCAAACAGCGTGTATTGGAGAGGCTGTACTTTGTCTAGAAATTGTTTAATTTCTTTTTGGCCAAAACTACTGCTTTCAACGAAATAATTCAGTATTCTTCACTACACTGAACTGCTGTAAGTACCAGTGCAGTAGGGATGGTAAATTTGGCTTCTGTGGAAATACCAGTAAGCATACTGGAGCCACTGAAGGAGTTTGGAAGGAGAGGTCAGGAGAGCAGCAGTCATGTTGTCTTGTCAGTTTGTGAAAGGAATGGTTTGTGTAGTCCCTGAGATAGAAGTGCTAGCTGCCTGACTCAGGTGGTCTCTATCAGTTCTGTGTCCCTAAGCTATCTCAGACTGTGTCTGAGGGTTGCTTAGCTTGAATCAGACCACCCTGGTCTGCTCTTTCTTCACCAAAGATCAGGCTCTACCCTTGCCCTTGCTCACATGATGAGCTTAGATTAAGTGCCTAGTTCTTGATGGCACCCACGTGCCTTGCAAGCACGTGGTGAAGAGCTGCATTCTTGTCCTCCTTGGATGGTTATTTTGGAAGCTACAGTTCAGGGCTGTGGCTGGTGGAGCAGCACTGAGGAGGAGAGAACATTGTGTGCTTCAGCTTGTGCTCTACGGTCTTTGTTTAAGATGAGCCAGGAGCGGTATGTTTCTAGTTGTATCTGGCAGTCCAAAGATCAATGACATGCCTTAGAAAGACCTTTGCTGTTGCACTCAAAACTGTACAGCCTAGGTGACTGGAGCTTATTGCTTCACCTCCTAAGTAATACTACTCCAGCCAGCGCGTGGAACTTCACTGGCTGGGGAAGTAATATTATTTAGTAGGTTTACACCGAAGCAGAAGAAATAAATTCAATGTGGGTCCTGTTTCTGGTCTATGTAGCTCTGGATGCTAGAGTCAGGTAACTGCTAGAGCACTGGGTGAACTGCTTGAACTCTAGGCATTCATCAGTGAGCAGAACCAGAGGCAGCACTGCAGATGTAGTCTCACCAGTACCTGTATACTGGCTGGGACTGTGCTTTTCCACCATATTTCTGAGTTGCTGGTTGTGCCTCAGCAAGGAAGCACAGATGTGGACAGTGGGAGAGGTCAGGAGCATTAGGCTGGCTTGGGCCATGGCTCCATATCAGGAAGCAGAAATCCAGCAGGCTGGCTGAGGAAACTACAGCAAATGCACTTTTTTTTGCACCCTTACCAATGTGAGTCGTAGGAGGAAGGATATGGGGCAGGCTGGCAGCCAGCAGACCCGACCTGCTTGAGCACAGGCGGTCCTGCACACTCTGAGGATGGACTCAGCTAGAAAGCTGAGCAGGGCTACTCAGGTACTTGTACTCTGTGCAATGATTTGCCCTCCTGCATGCTGTGTGCAGATGTTTTGCCAGGCTGCTGGTCCGAGCCTAGGGGGAGCTGACAGCTGGTGTATTCAGCCAAAGAAAGCTGCCAGTGCTGGTGGGAAGCAAGGGAGCCTTTGGTGCCACACGTGGGCTTGCTGTCGGCATGGAGCTGCATGTGCTCCATGAACACATATGCTGGCCTTGGAAGTGCTTAGTCCTGTGAATAAGCCCATTGCTCTGCACTGGAAGGTCATTCGGGGGCCTGTCCCTCTGCGAGTTCTGCATCCAGTGGTTCTGTGTTTGAAGACATGGCAGGAAATAAAGGTTGTCAGTCTGAAGCTGTACTGGCTGAGAGGAGGCTCTTTTGCCCCTCTCCTAGCCTGGCTTTCCCCATCAGAGCTTTTGCTTCTTTGCTAGCTTGTGCTCCTGGTCCTCAGGAGTGGCCCTGAGCACTGTTGCTGTAGAGTAGTTGCAATGGGCATGGGAAAGGGGAAAGTTGCTTTCCTGTCTGCTAATCAGGGCTGTGCAGACAGGGATTGAGGAAGGATGGCTCTGCTCTGGCTCAGGATGTTTTGGAAACAATGCCTATTTATAGGAGAGAGTGAGGGGCCCCTTGATGCCTGGAGCAGGAGTGGAGCAGCCTGGCTGTGCGGGAAGAAGGTCTTGCAGTGCCGCGTAGTAGCACTGCAGTACGCTGCGCAAGGGAGTCAGGGAGACTGGGGTAGGTGTGGTTTGCTGTTTTGTGTGTTCTCTGTCCTCAAACTTGTTCTGCTCTCTCCCTGCCTCTCCATGAGGGGATCAGCAGCCCTCTTCTGTTTGCTTGTCCCCTGCCTGCAGCTTGCTATTGGCAGGAGTGGGGAGGGGGTGCTGTGCCGCGCTGGAGCTGGCACTGGAGCCGCAGTGCCACCCGTACAGGAGTAGCTTCACCTTGCTTCTTTGGAGACCTGCTGGGTGGTGGTAAGGAGTGCTGGCTACAGAAGTGCTGAGGACAGGGCAGAATGCTGATGAGGGACAGAGGGCTGATGATGGACCATATATCCCCAGTTCAGTTGCTTACCCAGATTGTCCAAGTTTAGCCCATTCACTGCTGAGTGGGAGAGTTATCAGTGGCTGTCTGGGACAATGTGATAAGCAATGCCAGACTGCAAGAACCCATGCTGTTCTCTCTGGAAACAGGCAGCAGTGAGCTTTTTGCCACAGTGAGCAATGCTGCTTTGGTAGAGAGTGTAAGTGCAGCAGAGAGCCAAGGCTTGGTGCCATGTGTGCCCAAGCCATCACCAAATTGCTTGGGGAGCCCTGGGCTGTCCTACGTCAATGAGCTTTCTCACTAACTGTATCAAAGAGGTCTGCCAAGGCCAGTGCTTTTCTTTTACTTGCACCACAAATGCTTCTGCCAAGAAGATCAGCAACACCAGAGATAGAGACAGTAGTGCTGGAGCCCTGGAATTTGAGGTGTGATATCAATGATGGGAAGGATGCAGGCCTCTGCTGTGGTAGGGGATCTCCACACCCAGCCCGGCACATGGGGCATGAACCCTTGTCAGGCAGGTTTAAGCTCCTCTGTCTTCCAGCTTGGTTTGCTTCTCATCCTTGGTTCTGCAAATTCTTACACACTGGTGAGTCAGTGAAGACTGGGTGTTGTAATAGCAGCTTTGGAGGACATGTACCCAGTTTTTGGCAGTGAGAGCTGACTGGATCTGTCAGGTGGAACCTGAGTACAGGCGTTGTTGACTGTGGCCTGTGTTCCCAGCTGGAGCAAGTCTGGCTGGCTTTCTGCAGAGGTCCTCTGTTTTTGCTGCATGTGTGGACTGGGAACTGCTGGCGGCTCTTGTTCTGCCTTTTGTAGGGAGACTTCTTAGTACCAGCAACTTAGGGAATGTTACTGAAGCCAGTGTGGCCAGGCTTGCTGCATGGTGACCTGGCCTGGGCCCGAGATTTGCTGGGCACTTCTCTCCTAATACAAATGGAGAATGTTAAATAGACCTGGAAGGTTGGAACTTCTGAAACGGGGTAACTGCCTGGAGAAAGGGAGGAACAGAGCATATTAGAGCCTGTGGGCTGCTGTCTTGTGTCCAAGATTAGTTTTCAACTGTGCTGGCATATATAAGAATATTGGGGTTGCCTTGTGAGCTACAGGTAGAGCTGAAGGGCTCTGAGGCTGGGGATTCCACATATGAAATGTCTGTACTGAGGTTATACCAGGCCTGTAGGTGCTGGGTCTGTACAGCCACTCAGGTTTTCCCTGGCGGTGTCACCTGCTGTTCTTGCTGCAGGACTATCTGGAGAACTGTTTGCTGTATCCTCTGGATTGTATGCTGGGGTAGTCTCAAACAGCATAGCTTCTGTGTGCATAGGCTCTCTTGGGTAGGAGAAGTCATAGTGTTTCTTTAGCATTCCTCCTTTGCTGATCTAAATACAGGGCTGTTTTTCTCTTGAGCGTGAGAACTCACCAGTCTCCTCTGCCTTTTGGCCTCTGTTGTATGCCTCTTAAAACTTCCCTTGGCTGCAAGCCACAGCCTGGGCACCACTGCCCTCGAGTCTCTCTGATGGCAAATTTAGGTCATGTGTTGACAAGCAGATCAGGTGGGTTTTTACTTGTGTTGTGCAGCAAAAGAGTACTTCTGGGAGGAGGAGTGCAGTTGGGCTCTTCTCTAGTCATCAGAACTGTCCTGGTCCTCCTGTGTGAAGCTGCAGTCATCCTGCTGCTGCTGGCCCTCTGGAAAAGTAGATGTAGTTCCCTTTCTCTAGAGCTGGTGTGGTGTCTTGCTGTCTCTCTGCTGTGTTGAGAGCTCTGGTAGAGGCATCGTGCTGCAGTGGTTTGGCTATGTGCTGCCCGAGGTGGTCTGAGCAGTACAGAACATCAGGAGAAACTGAGCACTCCTGCCTGTCCTGCATCAGTATAAGCAAGCAGCAGAGGGACTGGCTGAGAGACAGGCCGTGCTGCTGTCTTCCTGTGCCACTAAGTAATTTCCTTGAGTTTAGATCATTGGGATCCCTGGCTGTATTTTGTTCCTGTTGTGGTGTTTTGTTTGTTTTTTAAACCAGTGAGACCTCTTCTTCCTTTTGTTAGCCCTCCTGGATGTGTGCTACAGAAACAGGCTCTGTGGGGAGCATGCTCTGGAAGCCAGTCTTGAACATGTGATTTGGGGAGGAATGTTCTTCAGCAATTGCCAGAGAGCAGCTAGGAGTTCCTGGCAGCATGTATGGCTGGAGTGCAGCTGATGGCTCTTTTCTTCTTTTTGTCTGCAGGTTGTGCTAGCAGGCAGCCCTTACACAGCTGACACCTAGAGGCTCTTGGACACCACTGGGTGCTTTGGAGTCTCATGCCAGCTTGATGTGTGCAGGACACGGGTGGACCTGGACAAGGCTGGAGATGCGGTATTTGTAAGCACATTGGCACTTGCCATGCACCCAACAGGGTCAGTGGATAGTAGCTTCTCCCGCTCTGCTGTGCAGACCCTCTCCCGGAGCCACTGCCGCAACATCAGACAGAAGATCTCCCAGTGGGAGGGGAGGACACGAGGGTGCTCCAGCAAGGAGAAACAGCTGCTGAAGGACTTTGGAGTAACATATGATCCCAGCTGCGATGCTCTACCCAAAGTAAAGCCAGAACATACAGGGATGGGCAGAAAGACTGGGTCCAAAGATCCAAAGAGCCTGGGTTTGGACTTCAGGGAAGATGCACAGAGCTGCTTGCACACTGATGACAGTGGTGACCTCAAGCCCTGTGCATGCAGCCTAGCTTTCCAAGCCAAGGAGAAAGGAGAGTGGCAAGCAGGCTTCGTGGACCCAGGGGCGACACTGCCCCCAGGGTACTTCTATACCTCGCAAGCTCTGTGGAGGACAGTACATCCCCTTCTGCCTGGCAAAGCCCCACCAGTTCCCTTGGACCTTCAAAGGAAACGAGGGAGCTGTGGCTCCACAGAAAGAGAACTTAAAATCAAAGGTGTAGACTCTCTCTGCAGGGCAGAGAGGAGCTTGAAAAACATTTACTCTGAGGTGGAGGGGCAAGAGGAGGAGCCAGCTGCTGTCCTGCCACCCAAGCCCCGTAGGACTTTCTGCTATCTTGCAGAAAAGGGTGCTAGTAGCTGTAGCGATGCCAGTGCTACCAGCGAAGCTCCCTTGCAAAAGCAACATGGAGGAGACTTGGTGTCACCTTCCAACAATGCTGAGAAGACAATAGGCAGCAGGAGGATCAGAGGGAGAACCCAGAGGTACATCGATTCTCATGTCTGAAACATGTTTCCTTAAATCAGTTTCTAGGCGGGTTTAAACAGCTTGCTTGCCATGATATCCTTGTGGATGTGCTAGTACTGATGATGCCTCTGTTGATGAGGAGAGGATATTTCTGGACCAATGTATCCCCTTTCCAGCATTGTGTATGCACTGCTTTTGCTGCTGATAATCTTGCAAAGAAGGCTAAAAGCTCCAAATAGATGTCAGTCCCACACCTTAAAACAGAGTTGAGTGACAGTATGCTGGCCCCAGGGAGAATGCTGGCTGCTTCTTGCCCTGAGCTGGTCCTCAGCTGCAATTGTGGATTACAGAATAGCTTTCTCATGGGGCAGTATGGCTGCTAAAAGCTCCAGCTTTTCTGTGAGTGAAAGATTCTCTTGTTGCTTAAAGTTGGAGGCTGTCAGCTGTTGGTACCCCATTGTGGTAGGTTTGGCTATTCTTCCCTCTTTTCTGTACAGAGCAAAAAAAAACTCTGAGCCAGCTTGCTGCTGGTTCTGCTTACAGATGAGCTGCCTAGGGCAGCTGTGCTAGAGAGTAGTGTGAACGTTGTAGGTGGAGATGTGGCTAGGACTCCTGAAACCTCCTTTCACTGTGGCAAAGCATGCAGCAGCAAACCGACTTTTATGATGATAGGCTAAATCCCTTCCAGCTCCTTTGTGACCTCAGTGCCATAATTTTGAAATGGAGGCCAAGTGTATGAAAATGCAAACTCGCAAATGCAATAACACCCTTAGCATGAGCAGTAGGAGAGGTCCAGTAGAAAGCAGTGCTCTAATTCTGAGTACTGCTGTAAGTGCTTAGTCTGCAAAATGTGGTTTGGGTTCTTGCCTCTGACAGGAGGGGACTTGCCATACCTGCTTGGACTGTGCCTAGCCCTGGGGCCTTCAACTTCATTTTTAATTTAAAAATCTCCCCGAGTAAGTGAGTAGGACTCACTTGGTGTGCTAGTTTTAGCTGGGATAGAGTTAATTTTCTTCTTAGTAGCTTGTGTGGTGCTATGTTTTGGATTTATGATGAAAATAGTATTGATAACACAGCAGTGGTTACACAGCCTCCAGGCCTTTTCTGTTTCTCACACTGCTCTCACCAGCGAGCAGACTGTGGGTGGGCAAGAAGCTGGGAGGGGACACAGCTGAGACAGCTGACCCCAACTGACCAAAGGAATATCCCAGAACATTTCTGTCATGCTCAGAAATAAAAATGGGGGGAAGAAGGAGGAAGGGGGGGACATTTGGAGTTAACAGCGTTTGTCTTCCAAAGTCACTGTTACATGTGATGGAGCCCCACTTCCCTGGAGATGGCGGAACGCCTGCCTGCCGAGGGGAAATAGTGAATGAATCATAGAATCCCTTATTTTGCTTTGCTTGTGTGCACAACTTTTGCTTTACCTCTTAAACTGTCTTTGTCTTGACCCATGTGTTTTCTCACTTTTACCGTTCTGATTCTCTCTCCCATCCACCACTGGGTGGGGGAGAGAGGGACTGAGCCTGCTGGCTGGGGTTAAACCTCAACACTTGGAAATCGGAGAGTCCAGAGTAGAGATCCATGTACTTGATGGCCCCAAGGAGGACCATACTGTGTGTGGACTGGAGTCAGCAACTCACTAGTACATGCAGGTGCCTTTAGAAGAAGTTACACTGGTTTTCCTCTAGGAAATCTTTTGAGTTTGAGGATATCCAGGGCTTCCGCAACCAGATGGCAACCACCAACTCCCACAGACTTAGAGAAGAGGCGAACGGCACTACAGGATCCAGGCTTGTCTACACACAGTCAGAAGACAACATCTACGAGGACATTATCTGTAAGTGCCTGTGCTTCTGGGGGATGCACTCACTTTATTTAAGGGTAGCAAATTTGCTGGGGAGGGAGGAATGAAGATGAGAACGCATTGAGGCACTTATCTCTGACTTTTAAGGTCTTTCCCATCTGGGGTTCTTTGCTGATGTTAGTAACTCTCTGCATGTGAACAGCCTGATTTCAAATGCCCTGGAAGGTCGCTAGAATTGGCCTGTGCTAAACTGATTTCTTTATTAGCTCTTCAACTGCTTTGCTCAAATGCTGCGCAGAGATCAGTGTGAACACTGGCAAAATTAGCTGCTTTGCAATAGAGCTACTTTCTCTGCAGTGGTAGAAGTGTTTTGTTTGGCTGAATCTGTGTACAGTTTGCCAAATAGATGGTAGTCCGTTAGAAGGATCTTTGAGGGATGGGAACCTAATCCATCTTAGAACAGGTCTCTCTCAAACCCTGTTAAAGCTTGGCAGACAACTCTATGCTCTCCCTGCTTACATCCCTTGCAAGAATGCAGGGCTTCATCTCTTTAGGTGTTCAAGAAACGTGTGGATGTGGCGCTTCAGGACATGGTTTAGGGGACATGGTGGCACTGGACTAATGGTTGGACTTGATGATCTTGAAGGTCCTTTCCAACCTAGTGATTCTGTGATTCTGTGATTCTTTTTCATAAATCCCCTGTTCAATGACTTTTTCAGGTCCTGCAAAAGAGAACCCCTATGAAGATATTGGAGCGCTGCCCTTACCCCTGTGGAAGGTCCCGTCTGTCTGGAAGCTGCCACCCCCCCGGAGCACCAGTAGGACTCCCAAGGTAGGGCAAGGGGATTGAATCGTTATATCTGTACAGAGAGTCATCCTCACGAGGGCCCTATTTTCTGCTCCCCCCAGCTCCACATTCCCCACTGCTACGTTATTGGTTTCCGTTATTTTTTATCGTTTGTTATTAAGGTAAATGATAATGAACAGCCATGGCAGTTTATTCAGGGAAAAGAGGAGAGTTTATCACCTT